GGTGAACGGGTTTCATTTATATTCTTTCTTTCTTTAACATACCTTCTATTTAACATGATATTTTAACCAGGTTGTACTAATTGTAGTCAACAGACTTTCTTTTACAAAAATCACATTTAGCTCTGTGCCTATATAACCACAAAACTGAGTATAATTTCCAGTGTAAGTCAGCCTATCCCTTTTTATAGATGTCTGGATCCTTATCTCACTTCGATCAGCACCTAAGCCAATAAAAAATATAATAAAAAAGTCGCAATTAACCACAGCAGCAAGTCACGTAATCTGATTTTATGTCCGACGTCAAAATAGGTCTGTATAAAAAATGGACCGGTCAAGTGGGAGTCGGACCGGTGTTATGAGTCCTCATTTCTGGTAAAACACACGTTGGTACATTTCCTTTCCCTCCCCCTTTTTTGGGTTTACGTTTAGTTGCTGTTTTATATGGTAACTTGGCTGAATTTTGTTTTTGGGTAGAGATCCACATATGATGTGATATATGGCAATAGGCTTACCACCTATTACATGGGACTCATAACATATATAGTGAAAAGTGGGTGTTACATTGTGTAATGGCATTGAGTGCCGTAATTTGCACCTCTGACCACCCATCGGGATAAAAAGCCGCGATGTTATGTATAATATTTTTTAACTTTATTGTGACTCTTAACTTTTACGTGAAAGTCTTGATTTCATTTGATTGCCCTTTTTATGGATGCATCTGATTGAGAATCTTATTTCATATAAAACTAAACTTTAACCATTCTAGTCAACTACAAAATATTTAACTATTAACGACACAAAGAACAGCTTGTCGATACATTCTTTAATCATTTCTTACCAATATCCTCGATTTACTTGCACATACACTATTCAATAAGATAAACTCAATTCCAGTCAATCCCTCAATTATTTCTCAAATTACTGTCACTGTCACAATCACAGACTGATTTTATTAAAATATCTTCATTTACCAGTTTTTGCATTCAAAACGAAAAGGAAACGGAATGCTCGAAGTTCCTCTTTCTCCTGAATGTCCGGGAGACCCTGAAATCATGTAAAATTCTTCTCAGTAACTTGGCTCGTTACAGCCCTAACAGTTGAAATATTAATTCAGACGTTTGCTTGAAATCCGGTCTTGCAATTGATTTAATTTTGAATTCCTTTAGCTGGTTTACAGGGGGACAGTGCGAATATATTTTCTGATAGAATAAGCAGTTTTTAAATGACTTCATTAAATTTTGTGTTTTGAGGAGGGAGCGGGAAGGAGACATTATAAAAATAATGATCATATTGTTTGTTTTGGTATTGTTCTAACAACTCTTCTTGTAATGTTCTGATGGCTCCATCGAATGCATTTTGAAATTGTCCTGTTTTTATGTCAGTAATTATCAAGCCTGTTTGATATGTTTCACTGTAAATTTATTTGTCTGTATAAAATTCTACCTTCAGTTTATAAGATTAACATCAGAATACTTAAGGGCTACTCAATTTGAAATTGTATATAAATACCGTGCTATCTCCTGCATTTTACGTAGAATTTATTAGGACTATACTTAAGCGCGACTTAAAATTGAATAGCGTTTGAATATTTCGACATAAATCTTGTATCGTCATGTTAGAGAATTTAAATCAATTAGTTTTATTCTTAAAACTGTCTAACTGAATAAATTAAAAAATAAATTAAAATCAGTAAGCTGCGCGACACCGCCGCGACCGCACACGCTGCTCATGAAGAAGAACTCCTCTGTGGTTCGAAACTAGTAGAGCTTTTCTCAGTATATTCACGTGAGTAACCCGCGATTTTAGTTAATTTAAATTCTAGGTCTTAAGAGGACCCGGTGCCTCCTTCAGGTGCGGATGGTGGCCACTGGGGAGTTAGTTAGTTCCTAGATTTTTTTCCCCAAAAAAGCTAGGCGACTTCGAAGGTTTCTCCCCGTCAACAAAAAAAAGGTAGTTCAAATGAAAAGTTAGATTACCGAATGAATGAAATCCATGATTTTTGATCAGGGTTATACCACTATTATGGAAATAATTTTATTTGCTGCACTCCTAAAATATTTTACCCAGTCAAGCAACCTTTTGCAAAGTTACAATACTATATTTTATACCTATAAGTAAATAATTACATTATTATTTATGATTGTTTAAGTAGCTTGCGTACTTAAACGTATTATTATTCTGACAAAGCGGTTTCAAGTACGAATACAATGAAATTTAATCGTTTTAACATTTATAATGAACTAAACTGGAACCAAACTTCGGTCTACTATAATAAAAGCAGTCCTTCAAATGCCAGCCAAAAACCCAAAAAAAATCAATTTGAAAAAGAAATACCACGTCAATTGTCATCGATATCAGCCTATTTAAATCAGAACCTAGAATTTATTACAATATTAAGTAAGACAAAAGAATTAATAGCAGTATAACCAACTTTCTTAGCACTGCGACGAAATATATTCAATTCTTCAAGCATTAGAATTTCAGATCGAAGAGATTCACTGTTTATTTTACCATTCGATTGAGATTTGTAATCGAGAATCGTTTTAAAACTTCTACGACTACCATTGGCCTGATCTAATAGCTATGAAGCGAAAACTCTTCAATTCGATTACTCGGTCAAAGGATTCCCTAATGCTTTATGAAAATCCAAAGCGGTCGAGTTTCGTATTACTACTGATAGTTTATTGGACTCATAAATATTTAATGACAGTCGTTACAAGTAGTTTTGATGTTTGAAATATCTGTTGACTTGTCAAAGACTCTGAATAAGACTTTCATTAACCTGATATGGTAAAGGTTAGCAGTTGCTCCTTGTAGAATGTAAATCAACTCAGATTTTAGACCTAATTTTGGAACCTCAATAGGTGATGCACATACCAAAGATAGACCTGATTTTCGACCAGTCAGAAGTTTACTCCACGTTTTAAACCATATAATGATATCAAACTGTGAATGTTTTTCTCTTGTGTGATTGTATTTGTGATATTGTTATTACTAGAAACGAAAGTATAAAATAACACAGAAATCTATATAATATTTTGGTGGTTGCGAAAATGTATACCTAAATTCTCTTTTTATATTATAACTTTCGTGAGATATACTAAATTAATTATTATGTTTTTCGGCTTCCTCACGCAACTATTTGTCGAGGGACTTTACTATTTTCAAGCCATGTTAGAGGCTTATATTCAGGAGCAGCATTCCGCGACGCGACGCGGCTACTGTCGCTCTGCTACTGGAGTAGCTACTTATTAATTTGATTATTCTCTTGTTTTGTGAAAATTTGAGCATTCGATGGCTCTTGTAAGCAAAACATTATTATATTCGACAACCACTAAACAGCATTCCTTAATTATAATCTGAATAGACTATTACGTAATTGATTAGTTACTGTTTAAAGTGATTTATGTCAAAGCTTCACCACAACGGTATAGTTGATGAACTAATCCTAGTGTTGATGTTAACTCATATTACACTAAGCTCGATAGCAATACCGTTTATTTATATTTTAGTATGTATTTACATATTCTTATACCATTTCTTCTTAGTCTTCACAGTCGAAATTGGCACAAGTTTTTTTGTCAAAGTAAATACCTAGTTCTATTGACTGAACAAAAGCAGATAGCGCTACTGTCTCATTAAGGCATTTTCTTAACTTATATTATAGCATAGTGTTCCTTAATAAAAGTTATATGAAAAATATCAACATAAATTCTAAACAAAACGACTTAAAATAACTATTTGTCTAGACAAAACAAAACACGAAAACCTATCTCAAAAACTGACTAAAATCTAACTGGCATTCCTCGGCATCAGAAGTGGAACTGAGTGTGTTAAATTAGAAGGAAATCCAATAAAGATAACCCCTATACCGGCGCGTGAAAAAATACAATCCCCTTTGTTACAACGCAAGGGGACGATAGAAAATTGAAATTCAAGTAATATTGGAATGTGGGTCTGTATATAAAACGGGGTATTGTTTAATCTAAAAATATACCATGGGTATTTGTTTTGCGGTTATATTTAGATTTTTTGGAAGGGTTTTTTAAAGATAAAATGTTAATACTTTTTGGAGAAAAATGTACATAACGTAGCTAAATATATTTACGAATACGATTAGGTATATATGTATTACAAAGGATATCTTGTACATTTTTATTACACTATAATGACATAATACATAAAGGCATGTTTTAAAGTTAATTAATAAATTTATTTTATACATTTTACAGTGTACACACAAATATTTTCGTACCTCTGCCTACGCCTCTGGGGTAAAATGCGTAATGTTATGTGTGTATGTTGTAATTGTATCTGTATTTAAGCACTATGTAAACTGAATGCCATGAAAAAGAATGCGCCAAGCCAAGCAATATAATGCACAAAAACCAGGAGAAAAAAATCCCTTCCATTCCCTCCCTTCACATAAACTTTCCAACTATTAACTACCTCACTACCATCCGCAAACTCCAAACAACTGTTACTCCATTTTTCCGAATACAAAAACAAAGCCAAAACATGCGTTAAACCTTCCGTAACATTAACCCCTAGTTTACTGCTAACACGCCCAGATTCCGCCAGATCCACCGTGACAGAAACTTCATCACTTAAACCAACTTACAATATTTTACAGGGTGTTTCTTTCGCAATAAGCTGAACCTCATTTCGTGAGGAACAAAAATAGACTCCTTTATTTCAATACAATAGGCGTTTGAATCCTGTAAAAATATATGCAAGCGAAGCTGGGAGACAACGCAAATCCGTTATGACACGAAGTAATAATGACATCGGTTTTGTAAGGTGCGTACCCACTGTAGTGTAACAGATTATGTGAGCGGCTCACAAAGTTCGCAACGAGGGATGATTTTGATTTGTTACCACGTTGATTAGGGGATGAAGGGATAAGGGAATTTGTTAGTGGCAGTCTTCGACTTTATTATTGGTTCTGATATGATTTGCTTTGATGTGTAATGTGTTATTCACACGATGAATATTTAAAATAACACGACTGCACGGTTGACGCAGTGGCTGCGCAACGTGTTTGGGTTCGATTCCCGCACGGAACAACTCTTTGTGTGATCCACAGATTGTTGTTCTGGGTCTGGGTGTCATGTGTATGTGAACTTGTATGTTTGTTAACGTACTTACGACACGAGAGAAAATCCTAGTGTGGGGCAAAAAACACTAACTTTTTTGTATACCTTCCTAATTAAACTAGAATTCATATTACATGAATTAAATTTTGTTAATGAATTTATTTTTTGTCTAGACATAATCAACATGCGATTGTTTTTGTTTTAATTGTGGTCCGAGAATTTGATACGTGTGTACAAGAAACCTCAAAATAAATTAACCTTCATAATGAGACTTAATTAACAATTTTATGATAGAAACAACAAAACACTGTTACACTCTAGAAGTTCTATAGCATCTTATATGGACATTATGACTATGTAAGTAAACCTTCACCAATCAACAAGCAATCCAGCCTCGATCAGCCAAAAGCACCCAATTATAACCAACAATATCATTCAGCTATACGTATCTTCTATCATAAGTTCAATAACAACAGTTTCCCAATATCTCAGCATTTCCATCGCTCGACAGCTTTCCAAACACCGAATCAATGTGCAAATACCTTATAAAGTAAAAGATCACGTCTCGTTGTCGAATGCGAACCTTTATTACGGCCGCCCGCGGGGCGAAGCTTTGTGTACCATGTTTAAATAAACTTACCTAAAATACTGACAGCCTACGAAAAAATTCGAAGCAAATTCATAAGATCTAAGGTCTTTTGTTGAACAACGCGTCACTTTTGTTATTTAGAAATAATTAATTTTTGTTTTCTTTTTCTTGGACTTGGTTAGCGGAGGTCTTCTTTGTTATTGGGTAGTGTTTCCGTCTTTTTGTTTAAGGTATGATGTTATTAACTTTCGCAATATTACCACGATGCTTTGGTATGGTATGAACTATAAAAATAGCATTGTTGAAAGTAAAAAAAGCACATAATTTATTTATTATTATGAGAACACGATTTTAAACCAATAACATTAACACGTTAAACGCTAGTCAATTTCTATAAAGTAAAGAGGGAACCTAGTTACACACTAAAATTAACTACATCTTTAATTGTTACCAAAAGTATAAATTACATAATAACTGATACATTTGATACATCCAAAAAAGTCTAGGACTTATATCAAGTCTTCTTCCATGGCTAAAAGAGTTCCTATTATCAAAATATTTAGTCCAATGTCTAAACCTGAATAAATCACCAAATCTTTGCCATTCATATTATTCAAAAATGTTCCATTATTCGAGCTTCCTAGCAATTGAGTAAGAAGACGCTTAATAAATAAATCAGTCACTGAAAGCCTATGAGCCTTTTAAATTAACTTAGAAACTACAGTGAGTGTCCTGTCTCAGTTCTATCGTAAAAGTATCATTGGTTAGTTTTTGTCACATTTGAGTTTTCAAAAATTTTCAATATGAACTTTAAGTTTCGATAACCTTTTGTTTTTTTTAAATTGGTGACGTTTGGCCATCTCACCTGATAGTAACCGATGTTGTGACCGACAATGGCATGCTTACCTATGAGCAACCTGTTCACTCGGGACTTGAAGATTTCTGGTGCAGATCCAACTGGTGCAATCTGGTGCAACCGGCTGCCGTGCAGCGTCCCGCGGGTTTGATTCCCGCAAGGAACAAAACTTTCTGTGATCCACAAATTGTTGTTTCGGGTCTGTCATTTGTATGTTTGTAGATTCACCCACGACACAGGACTTCACAGGAGAAAATTATAGTACGGGGCAACGTAACTGGACAAATATTTTCATTATCGCACAATATTAATTACTTTTGGATATCAATATTACATATTGATCAAAAATGAAATGTAGTTCATCATGCAAAATCCAATCACGGATGAATAAGTGCTGAATTGATTAAGGATCCTTAAGTCTGACTGCGTGACTTTAAACTAGTCTTGTAGCTTCGTTCAACAGTTATACCACGACCTTCAAACCTTCAAGAAAAGTACAAACTCCATTGTAAAAGGCCGGCAACGCACCTGTGACTTTTCTGGTGTTGCGGGTGACCCACTTTGCTTACCATTCGGTGATCCGTCTGCTCGTTAACCTCCTATTCCATAAAAAAATATGAAAAAATCCGTACACCTTGATTCGTTTATTGGACGGAAATTTTACTTCAACGTAGATTTTATTGTACACCTTTCAGTCTTTCGTCCATTTTTAGACAGGAACCATATCGAATATAAACAGAAATCGTAAATCAAATACAAAAACTATTATCCCTTTGTATATTTTCTTTCAATCAATCTGTCGTTTTCCAATTTTTTTTTAGATACGTTTACATAGCGTTTGAATGCAGACTCCAATATTCTTTGGAAATCCAATTTTCTATCGAACGAGTTGTTTCATAAAACCAATATGTTTCGTTGATCTAGACCAGAACAGTGAACAGTACATTGTACCTACGTACCTATACGTAAGTATAGGATGTAGCGAAACGTAGATGTTATACATTTTTATGCAGATTTTTTGTGGAATATATTTTGTTAGAATAAGCTGGATATTTTTTGATATTTTTCTGTATTTTGTAGTCTAGTCTATTTTTGTACTCGCATATACTTGTTTTAATTTTATACATATTATGTAAGTTTTATATAAAAAGAGCTGCAACTTTACATTGATTGATTACAGTTCATACAATTAATCACAATGATATTTATTGATTCTTTTCTCAATCCTATTCTTCCAAATCATTTGCTTTTAAATGTCATTAGAGTAAACCAAAAAAAAAAACGTTTAATCTAATCAGAATAACACATCCAATATGTCACATCTTATTATGTAACCATTTGGATTGTTATTATTCATCCAGCACCGTCGACCCTCGTCAGCCAAACATACAATAAATATAGGACAAAATGTGAGGTTTCATACATTGGCGAATGTATACAAATATTGGTGTTGGATCTTGTATTGAAAGCAGGATATTTTTACCTGAATAGTGACGTACCAGTAAATTGGGTAGGACTCGTATAAAACAATTTACATGTATCTACATATTTCTCGGAATTTATCTACATGTATAGAGGTATCTAGATTTGTATTGGCTCTGTCTGTACCTACCTAGTACTAGAGGTACGATGTTGGTCGAATACTTCGCTTCGGGCTTCGAGCCAGGTCTCCAGTAAGGCTGATACTCGATCTGGAACCGCATAATTATGGCATAGTAGGTTACCGAGGCTTTGGCTTAAATCAGTAGTAGAATCAGGATGGTTTTTAGTCAGTATGAGTCTGATACTCTCTTGTCTTAGCCAAAAAGTCATTGAATGATTTAGCTCCTTCAAAAATAGTAGCACCAAGCATTTTTTTTTTCGGTTCTTCGATTTTTTTAGTAATAGCGTAGGAGTGGGCTAACACTTTATTGCATGGGACTAGTAAAATTACTGGTAAAAGTAGATGTTATATTTTATGGTAGCCAGCAGATCAATGTACTCAAATCTGTCTATTCATTCGATTTTTGACTTTAAATCAATACAATAAAGTTGTATATGAATTTTGTAACTTGATAATTGTATTCTTACTCTGATTGAAAAAGATTATAACCTATGGAGTTTCTTAATCGTTCTTCTCTACATGAATCTACACCTTGGTATTAGCAAATAGGTTCATTTTCTTTTAAATTTTCTGTTGACGTTCAAAAGTGCCTTCCTGGTCTAATTTTAACTTTAATTTGTAATAATTTGACAGAACAGGATAAAACGATCTGCTGGCCACAGAATATTGTATAATACGTATACCTGGACCTATGTCTTCAAGGAGGTTACGTAACTTATGATTCTATCTCAATACATATATCCAAGGCTGTCGCTATTAGTCTATACTGTTTCAGATTGGTTCGCAATCTGACTAACTACCTCATTGATTAATTGGTTAAACGTGATTTCAGTTTCGAATTGCGGGCCAAGTTACGTGTTATTTGGTATATTGTTTTAGAAATTCAGTTTTTAAGGTTTTTAAAGGAAGAGTATTTTCCTGATGTGACTTCCACTTGATTTTTTTTTTGTTGGATAAGATGGTGGATTTTATTTGTGGGACGAGCAGAGGGATCACCTGATGATAAGCAATCGGCGTCGCCCATAGACTGTTGAGGATTTGAGGGTTGTTGGGGATAAGATTGGGGAAGAGGATGGGGTAATTGGGCCTTCTGTGTGCCTAGCACGAATAACTATCGCATTCGTAACGTAATAGTATCGAGACATCGAAACGTCATGTGACGAAAACGGAATGTCGCAGCACGAAGCCTATCGTATCGTCTTTCGAGAGCTCGAATCAAATTCGTTAGTGACGTCATGCTGATGTAAAATAGAGAAGCACCAAGTGAACGAATTGAATGACATAAGATTACGTCTGAAAACTAAACCATTTTTAAAATATTTTTCTATCTTTGTCTGCACGATTAAGGCTTTGATAATTTGTTAAGATATATTGGTTAAGCAAAAAAAAACCAAGAACGGAGTTTACGGGTACATAAAGTGACATAATCGTATTATTACAACCAAAAAGGTACTAGTTAGTTTTGTTGTTTCATAAAATATTTTACAATTTCCGAACGTCATGTTTGACAGAGGTCAAATTCAAATGCCACTATGTCAAGTTATTTGTTTGTTTAAACTTTCACTATGATTTCTATTTTAATTAATATAAAATAACTCAATTCTAAAGCGAAATAAGGGAGGACTTAATGGAAAGTATCGTAAGTAAAAATTTCAACATAAAATACGCGCGAAAAACAATATAAGAGTACCTATTGTTTTTCGTAGTCGGGTTATTATTGTTTTGAATAGTTTCTCTTCATTGTGTTTGACCTAATATGCATTGTAATGTCTATTCCAGGATTCCAGGAGTTTGTCTAAGCCAGCTTTTCGACACCATAAACCAAACTTCTTTTTCATTAGAGAATGAATAGACCAGCAAAAAAGACTAAACTTGAACTGACGAAAATAGTTCTTGCAACTTGATAATAAAACAAGTGATGATGCTAGGAAGTGTGAGGGAAGATAATGAAATATACCTAATAGTGCTGACATGGTGCTCCTATACCTAAGTTTCGTCATGTGGAATACAATGAGACAAATAAACATGCTTATAGTATTAGATTTTATTTTTTTCTTGAATCTCTTTGTACAATAAAATTTGTCTTTAAATACATACAGTCTATCTCATAGGAAATATAGTAACATATTGACAGAATATTTGCTAAAATTAAATTATACTGATTTGTGATAAAGTGATGTCTTGAAACAAAAGTTGCATAAACCTAGTTCAAGCAAATCGCTACAAATATTAGTACATGTCCTTTGTTTTTTTTTTTGTCCATACTTTTAAGCAAAATAATGTATTGTTATTATAATTAATAAACAATCATAATAAAACATTAATACTGTAAATTGCAAAACTAACAATACATTTGTAAAATATAATTGTAAGTGGAGTCTTATGAAATAAATTATTCTTATTCTAATAAAGTATTGAGTATTGAATCTACTTATTCTGTCTTCTAACACATTCCTTTTATTCTATCCTGCATAATGCATGTTCAAAGAAAGAGTATAGAAGTATATGAGGTAATTATCTAGCGATCGTGGTTTGGGCACATTGAAAATATATCTCCTCTATCTATCCTATCCTATATAATGCATGTTCAAAGAAAGATAAGTATATGAGGCATATATACTTATCTTTAAAAGTTTATAGTGCTTGCGGTTTGGGCATATCCAAATATAAGGCTAAAATTTGTAACACAACTAAGCTGTTATTGCTTTTAGCACAATTTTCGGTGGCACAGTGGAGTATGCTCCTTGCACAAACAACACCATCGGTTTTTCATCGTCCAAAAGTTTTGTCAATGGTTATCCATCCACGACGACAAACATAACAACAAGTGGCATTCTCCGCATCATTATTGCCATGTTTCCCGAAAACATTGATGTTGATGAATCATTTCATACGCACACTACTTGTTTTGGTTCATTTTAATTTATAATTGTCATAAAATCTTAATTTTAAAATGTTTCGAAACCTTTCTCACCGGCAAATTCTAAGTGACAAATGTTTTGACAGTTTTCGATAGCCAGCCTTCGAAATTTACGTTACCGTTTGTCAAAAGATCGTTCGTGCTTCCAATTTGTGTCAAAATGTTCTAAGTTTCGATAGCAACACGATACGATTACTATACGATAGTTGTCAAAATCATTCGTGCTTGCGGCATTTAGTTCCTTTTACGCACGGTAGGGGCGCTGTACAAATCCCATAGAAAATGCTTTCGATGTCGATACGAATACTTTCTCGATAGTTTTCGTGCTAGGCACACTGTATCCTCACCCACTCGACAAAACATAATGCAAGCGTTTGTTTTATGTTGGTTTTCTGTGAGGCCGTGGTATCAGTCCGGTCGAGCCGGCCCATTCGTGCCGAAGCACGACTCCCCACCCTTGAATTGTGAGTTTGTAACGATACAGGAGGCAATCCTATTGCAGGATAACAATAAGTAAATCTATACTAATATTTTTAACTTTTAATTCTAGGTATAAAGTCGAAAATTCAATGGCAAAAATTTACACATTGGAATACATCGATGTGCTGCATGGCCACTGTACCAAACTCAAAGACAATGAAATTAATTACCTTGACCGACCCGGGTATCAAACCCAAAACTTTTA